GTCTTCTCCACGTTAGTATGTAAGTTTTCATACACATATGCTTGCTTAAAGGCCTTTTCTTTAATATCATAGATCATGTCTTCTAATCGATCTTCATCCATATCTACTTAGCAACTAATATACTATTCAATAATTATTGTACTCAACTATCATAACAACTATTTAATCAAAGAATTAATAAAAATAATGGCATCAAATTAAACTAAAATTAAACTAATTGTAATTAAATCCAACCACACACACACACACACACGCATATTTATTAAAAATTATAATTGAAAAAAAAGAGAGTTAAGAGCATATCAAAAATATCTTCAAAATGGGCAGAGTAAGAAGGGGACGACTGTAAAGAGTGGGAGGGGGGTCGATAAATGGGGGAGGGGGAAGGGGTTGAAAGGAGAAAGGGGGGCCGATGAACTTAGGGGAGGAGGAAGAGGCCAAAAGGGGGGAAGGGGGCCAACAAACTTAGGGAAGGGGGAAGAAGCCGTGGGAGTAGGAGGGGGACTGAGGGAGTGGTTAAGAGGGGCCGATTGGAGGGGAGAAAGGACCAACTGGAAAGGAGGGGGAAGAGGCTAGAGGGGAGAGAGGGAGGGGGCTGACCAGTGGTGAGGGGGAGACCCCGATGTAGGGAGAGAAGGTCGATAGCGGTAGTAAGGGGAGGGGGTGATTGTGAGGTCAAGCCGAGAAATGGGAACAGAACAATAAGGAGGTGATGGTGATGGATAAAATGAAAAAATAGTAAAGAAGATGAATAGTTGTGAGAGGAAAATGAAAAGTGCTGATTAAGATTTAAGTATTTTGAAAATCTTTTTACATTAGGTGTCTATAATAGATACCTGATGTGAAACATTCAATTTTTTTTATTTGAACAATTACTTTCTACATCAAGTGAGGGTCCACCCGATGCAGAAAGTGAATATTTTACATCGGGTATACATAATACCTGATGTAAAAAGGTTATTTATTTTTTTTATTTATCAAAAACTTTCTACATCAAGTAAGAACCACCTGATATAGAAAGGTAATATTTTACATCGAGTCATTGTTAGAACCGATGTAAAATAGTTATAATTTTTTTTATTTTTTTAAATTCTTTATACATCAATTTTACTATGAATCGATGTAGAAAGTATATTTTTTACATCAATTCTTTCTTGTTTGATGTAAAAAGTGACTCATAAACTATAAATATTAAGAAAATGCCACTGCCTGAACTTTTTACATCATTTGCCTTCCAACTAATGTAAAAAGCCTCATGTAAATTACATATTTTGTACTAGTGATATTGGAATTTATATCTACAATCAAGCAACAAACATATATAATCATGAAACCTCTAACTGAAAACCAATTCACATTTATCAGAAGAGAATTAGGAATGATAAATCCCAATGAGCTGTAAGTTTTCTAAATTCAAATAAATTACATTTTGAATCTTTTACTAACTTAAGGTTTGAAGTTACCTTAAGGTGTTTTTGCAAGAAAAAAACTTTGAATCCTAACTTCATTAGAATAAATCAAAGCAAATTTTAAAGAAAGAGGTTAAAAGATCAGGTATAATTTGTTTAAAAGATAAGTATCAAGTCTTATGTGATTTTACTTGCTCCTGTGTCTCTTTGTTTTACCTAGATTTTCATGCATGAAATATGTATGCTCACTCATGTGAAATAGCACCTAGGAAAGCTTCACTACATAGTGGTGCTAAATCATGTGTGAAGACATTAGTGTTACTTGCATGAAATAGCACATAGTGAATCCTTCTTCCTAAAAAGTGCAAAATCATGTGTGATAGTAGAAGGCTCACTTGCGTGAAAATCCTTCTCAAGAGCATGGTTTACAATTTTGGTCCTTTCATGCATAAGAGTAATTTATGATTACGCATGACTTTACCTATAGTTATTATGCATTATTTAAACGTTATTCTAGTTGCCATATCACGCGTGAAACCTCTTGGTCATAAGTGAGATTTAGCACCTTGTTGGTTAAAAAGTGCTAAATCACACGTGAAACTAGTCTCATCTCATGTGTGATCCTGCATCACTAATATACATCTTCATTATCTCCCTTTATTCTCATACATGAACTAACTTTACTCTTTATAGTTGTTACACTATCCTTCATTCTTAACTACCTTCCTTATTCCTCTCTGGCCATTTTGGCATTCGATTTTCCTTGCCCATCACTTTTAATTTGCTTCTCGCATCTCAATTCACTCAAAAATCATCGCTTTCTTTGACCTAAATTCTTCAGTTCTCTAAAAATTCTCTATAATGGTAAGAACAAAAGACACTGGAAAGAAAACAAGAGATAAGGTTATGAAGAAGAGAAAGTTCACAGAAGCTTTGATTGGAGAAAGTAGCAAATCACCTTCTCAGTCATCAAAGAGGCTCATAACTCTAAAAAAAACCAAGGAGCCTGCTTCTGCTTTAGCACCTGCTACAACAGACCAACAAGAAGAAACTCTAACCAGAATTGGCAAAGACTTGTCCAATAATGGTAGCAATGTGCCTCCTAGAAAAGTATCAAAGGCAAATGTCAGAGATGGAAAACTTTTAAGCTCCAAACATCAATCTAGATTCAACCAGTACTTCTCCTCTGTTGTGGTGGTCACAAGCTATTACACCAAATATGACTCTTTTATCAAAGCTTATAATTTTGATATAGATGAATATTTATGTGACTATAAAGGACTGTTGGAACTCAATCTCTCATACTCACCAGAAGTAGTGAAGGCCTTCTATGCTAGCTTCAGATGGGATAAGCAAAATAAGACTTACAAAGCCAATATTCAAGGATGTCTAATGTACTTTACTCTGAGGAGTTTAGGACATATACTTGGTCTTGAAGCAAAAGGTTTGGAGATTTAAGAGTTTGATTGTGCCAATCAAAGGAATGCTCCTAAACAACTCACAAATGAAGAGAAATACAAATCAATAATGATGACAGAAGATGTACCTGAAGCAGCATTGAAGCTTGGTTTCATATTTAAGCCAACTTCATTCCCTTTCAGGCATCGAATGCTGGCATACATGGTAGTAAGGTTCTTTCTCAACAAAAGGACAACCTTCAACACTTATACTGAGTTTGAGATTGAGTTCCTCACTAAAATAATCAAGAAGCAAAGGATCAATATGTGTCACTATATATTGACCAAGATGCTGTATGTTTCCAAAATTGACACCAAGAGGAAGAAGGAATAAAAGAAAGACCGAAATCTCTATTTTCCATCAATTATATCAGCTATCCTAATGAGATTTTGAGTTAAATAAATTGAAGGAGTAGTGCTTGAGCCAAAAGAGTTTAAGGACACTGCTCTTTACAAAATGAAGTTCAAGCTGGAAGGGAACATCTTTGTTCCAAAGGAGGAAGAAGATCTCGTTGATTCTATTGTAGCAAGAAAAAAAAAGGAAGTTACATAAGAAAGCTACTATTGGAACTTCAAAAGCTACTGGAGCATCTTCATCTTAGCCCATCATTTGTGCATCACATTGAGTAAAGGTGACTCGTAAGGACCAATTTGCAATTGATAGTTTTTTGTTAAGTCTAGATTTCTTCTAACTTACCTTATTTTGTAGGGACCACTAGCAACTAATTGTTCTTTCATTAAAGAGTAACAGAGTCCTCTTCTTATTCTCCCTCTATTACAAACCAAATAAAGACATAGACGATAGATTCGTAGAAGTATACTTGTACAAAAACCATTCAATTCAATTTTTTATGGATATATTAGTTACAAATCTCATGATGTTGATCACAGGGCAATGAAAACATACCAAACAATAGTCTTAAAAAAACATGCATATGAACTTAAGGATCCTACATGGATTGAGCCAAAGGCAAGTGAAACTAACATTTTATTAACCTATTCAATTATTAAGATTTATTGCCCATTTCTTATATATATGTTTTCATATAGAGTCATAAGCAACCATAGAAGACTAGTTTGTGCGACGTATATGTGATGAGGTACATGCTCCACATCTTCACATTGGGAATGACTGAATTTACTAATGAGGTAAATATATTTTTGAAAAGCTAATTTTATTATTATTGGCATTAGTTAGTTAACGTTTTAGTTGCAAATTTATAATTAATTTAGATGTTTGACATGACAAAACCATTTTCTGAGGAAGAGCTTGATGACATTCTCACAAACTAGGCACAACATTTTGCAAATGGTATGTGAGGTTTAGGTGGTTTTTTAAGAACTTTTATAAACAATTTTGAGTTTTATGTAATTTCTATAAAATTTTGTATTGAAAATTGAACTGTTTAAATATAGTGACTACTTCTCTAACATAGATTATTAGAAGTTGGAGAAGATATTATTTACCAAATCAAATTTTAATACTACACATATCAAATATTTAAACCCTCAAATTTAATTTAGCAGTGGTCTCTCCATTGAGTGAATAGAAGCCACTTCCAAAATATAATAAGAGGAGATTAAGCAAGGCAACTTAATCCATGTGTAATAATATTTTATATTAATGAACTTTTTAACTTCTTAATTTATGTGTAATAGGAAAAAAAACTTATATACTTAACTTTATATACCTAAGGTACTTGTTTTTAGATTTGGATTGGGTGACTGCATTTAGTATAGGCACTGAGTGTTTGTAGCATTTGAACTGTTGAAATCCATATTAATGGTTCTGAATTCATACTCTACTTGAGATTAATGAATGAGAAAGTTAAATCTGAATGGTTGATTTGGATTTCAACAATTCTAATGCTACAAGCATTCAATGCCTATATTAAATACAGTCTTCGAATTCAAATCCACTTGTTTCCAATTAAGTCAAGATATGTGAATTTTTTATATATTATTTATTATATAACAACCTCTTTTTATTAATATCATTAACACATTAAAATCTACTTGTTTTGATATGATCAGATAAAAGTACATTAAGTATACATCTAAGTACTTAAGTCTTGTCCAAAGCAAAATAGAAGAAGTTAAAAATGGGAAAAACAAGAGAATATACATTATTAGCTAGATAGACAAAGGATTATTCTCTTATTAATTAAACCAAGAATAACATCAATCTAGCTGACACAAGATGACCTCAAATAACTAAAATTAAAACACACATACCCCCAAAGGATACCCTCACTTTCAATCATCTTCATACATATATAATAATCCCTAATCAACAAAGCGACTTCATGACTCGAAATCACAAGAAGAAAGTTGGAGACTTGTGAGGTTCAAGGCATATTCTTGAACGAATTAAAGCAACACACACACACACACACACACACACACACAAGTAAACTCTCTCTCTCTCTCTCTCAATGATCATTAACACCATTGACACCGTTGATTGCTCCATTATTATCGAGAGCTCCATTATTGTCAGATTTGGTGTTGTGTGAGTCGACAACATCAGCAGTGACTAGGGTCTTGTTTGCAGCATTATGGACTCCCCATGCAGCCCTGCCTGATGGGTCCAAGTTGTTGGCCCACTCTGGCACCCAATGAAGAGCCTTCGGTGTGCAGCATGCCACAGTTGGTTCCCATGGGATGGTCTGCCTCGCTGGTTGCTGCACATCCATATATAAATATATATATATATATATATATATCCACACAACACATCAAAATCTATCACATGCATACACACCGACAAACACTAGTCATGTCCAGTTTGAGTCTCTTGTGTAGGGGGGAAAAAGTCACTTTCATAGAAGAGTTTTCTCTTACTTTGAACCCACTGATCAACTCGAGTGAATTTGGAGTAGTTGATAATATTGGATATTAAATACTTCGCTGGTTGTCCTATTTATAAAGTAGATAAAAGGTTAATTTTAATTCTATTTATAGAATATTTTACTACTTTCTTTGTTAGTCTTTACTTTTACGTCCTTATTAAATATTAAGAAAAATTATTAAAAATAATTCTTTATGTACTTAATTAGTATATGATAGTGGTGAGAACTTATTAAATTTTAAAACAGAATTAATGAAATTTAATATTTGTTTGGAAGTGATATATAAAGAGGACAAGAGGGAGTAGTTTGTTGTGAAATAAATCATATATACTCCTTCTGGTATAAAATATAAGCATTTTTCTTAGCTAATCTTGGTCCAAATTATAAGCAACTTTAATATTTGTATAAAATATTTCCATTTTATCCCTTATATTTATTAAGTTAGATTCTTGTGCCTGTGAATTTTTTTAAAAAATTTACTCATAATAAATTGCAACTAATTAATATAGGAATCACCTTTGGGAAGATCTTCTCAAAGATCATTCTGTAGTAATATGCTTCCTTGGTAGCCGGAGTGTGGAGTGGGTAGGTACGTGCGGCATTGAGCATCATCTTGTCAGTGACCTATTATAAATAATTAATATAATTAATTAAGATTAAGATGAAACATAAACATAATTCATAATTAATAAAAGGGAATTGATTAATATAATTCATAATTAATTAGTAGAGATTTACGTGTTTGGCAGCATGTTGCCTGAGGGCGTCGATCCAGTTATAGCCAACACCATCACTCATTTGCTCTTTTTGTCTCCACAAGATATGCTGCACGAATAATTAATTTGAGCTGTCAATTAATTATTTACTGAAACTTTAATTTTAATTAAATAAATTAACAATGAAATTAATTAAGTCATCAGAGTTTGTGTACCTGTGGGAGATAGGGGCGTTCCTTGTCATCAAAGGCATTCCTTAGAACCCATTTCTCAATCCGTCTATGTCCAGACTGATATAATAATATTCCCAAAAAATTAAATTAAATATAATCCAAGAAATTCATAATAAGGAGAGAATATAATTATACTCTGGATTAATTCTTGTCTTACCATCTTGAAATCAGGATCAATGTTCATAACAACATTTACAAATTCCTTATCCAAATAAGGAAATCGAGCTTCCAAACCCCAAGCAGATGTTGCTTTGTTTGCTCGTAAACAATCATATTGATGCAGAGCCTTGATCTTAACAAATCAATTATTATATTAATCATGATTATCATTGTTAATTTTCAAAAATAATTAATTATATTTGAATAAATAATTCACACACACATATACCTTGCGGCACATTTCTTGGTGGGCTTCTTCCTTGTTAGGTGCCTTGTGGAAGTACAAGTAGCCACCAAAGATCTCATCAGAACCTTCTCCAGACAGAACAACCTTGATCCCATGTGATTTGATCTTACGAGACATGAGATATGTGGGGATACTTGATCTCACTGTTGTTAGTTCATAAGATTCAATGTGATAGATCACATCTTCAATGGCGTCAATCCCATCCTGCAAATTAACTAATTAATTAAACACACAAGCTAAAATTTAAAAGACTAATATTAATATGATGATGATGATGCCTGAGGGGCGAAGTGGAACTCATGATGAACTGTTCCTAAGTACTTTGCAACTTCTCTCCCAGCCTTCAAATCCGGTGATCCCTACTCAAATAACAAAGTCAAATTAAAGGAGAATAAGTTAAAATTAAAATATTGAATTAGTCAAGACACTAGTTTAAGGATTAATTAATAATCAAAACTGTAATCGAATAGTAATCAAACAAGATTATAAACAAAAACATTTTATTAAATTAATTAAGATATTGGTTCAATGATTTACTATTTAACTTGTTTAACCATTTTGAGGATCATAGAAATATGTGGTGATAATAATAAAAGAATTCCCGTTTAATTTTTTCTACCAATAAAAAAAAAAGGATTGTCGTTTTAGGATGAAACGCACCTCAAGGCCAATGCAGAAGGAATGGATGGTGGTTCCAAGTTGTTTGCCTGCTTTGGTGTCAGCCAAGTAACGAGCAGTGATGGAAGCAACCAATGATGAGTCCAAACCTCCAGACAGTAACACCCCGAAAGGCACGTCTGTCATCAACCTCTTTATCACAGCCTGTCACAGTACCAAAACACACCGTATATATGATCATTAATTCGCGTGTGTGTGTGTGTGTGTGTGTGTGTGTGTGTGTGTGTGTGTGTGTGTGTGTGTGTGTGTGTGTGTGTGTGTGTGTGTGTGTGTGTGTGTGTGTGTGTGAAGCGGATCAATCAATTAGTTAGTTTGTTCGTTTGTGTGTGTGTGTGAAGCGGATCAATCAATCAATTAATTATATATATATATATATACCCCTCCAGTCCATGCTATAAAGAACTTACCAAATCCAAAAAGAATGATACTTCTTACTTCTCAAATTATAGAATACTTTTAAAGGAGTTTTTTCATTTTAAAATATAAAACACTTAAGGTAAATTAAGATTTAATTAAATGCATTAATTTCAATATTACTTTTTCTCTTTTTATAATTAATTTTCATCCCTTCTCTTTTTAATATATTAAATGAGAGTGTTTTTAGAAATTTATATTTTTTTTGGGAAGATAACATTGTTGAGTGTATTTAATAAAATTTATTGCTATATAAAAGTTTGTTTAAACGTATCTTATAATTTAAAATGAAGAGTGTAATTAACTCATTGAATGTATCTTAAAATGAAAAAGTTCTAACATTACCTCCCATCTTTAATAGAAAAAGAGAGATGCATATTATATGATAAGCCATAAATTTAAATTTATAACAAGGGTAAATTTGAAAAATAATAATAAATAATTTTTCATGATTTTTATGTTAAGAACCAAAAAAACTTTTTAGAAAGTGGCATATAATAGGGATTATAATAGAGACCAAATCGAGTATTGATCAACATTAACTCTAACTAATTTCATTATTATATTGATCACCCTATTAATAACTAAGTTAACTATTATGACCATTTGGCAGATGGATTGAGTAATAATTGCTTATATTCATATTAATCACTTGTTCCCAATTTGGATCTGACTGCTTCATGATTCTTAAAAAAAGTTAGGTGAAACCTTAATTTTTTTTAAAAAAATTACACCTTTTTAATCTTATCTTCATTAAATATACATAAGTATTTTAATAATGACAATTGAAATTCCGATACATTATATTTTTTTCAGAAAAAAAAGTAATAAATAAAGTAGGAATATAGTTAAAAAAATAACTATAAAAATGACCTAATATCCTATTTTTTGGATCAAGCATAATTTCTTAAAGATGCCTTGTAATATGGTGCCGTGGAGTAAATTAAATAGGCGCAATGAGATATGAGACATGGAATAGTTTTCTAGTTACCTTCTCGAGAGAGGTCCTCAAAAGCATAGGATCATAAGGGGTTGAAGGAATGGCTTCAGAGAACCATGGAGGATTGTACCACCTACGAAACGCTTTGTCTTTGCTTGAGTACAAAGTTCCTGGCTGAAATCTCTCGTAATGCTCACAGTCTTCGTGCATTGTCTTGTATTCTGATGATACCCAACACGACGCTGCCCAATTCCAAATACCACATTAATCAATTAATCCTAAACTAAATTAATTAATGCAAAAAAAACAATACACACACACACACACACCATCTTCAGCCCAGCCAATGTAGAGCGAAGTGATTCCAATGGCGTCACGAGCAACTAAGAAGTTGTTGGTTCGAGTGTCCAAAAGCACGAACGAGAAAATTCCATCAAGCATGTCCACAAAGTTCTCTCCATACTCTTCGTACTGATCCATCAATAAAAAATTAATTATTCAGAATTTTTTTTTTACTTTTTTAAATCGAAACATGGGTCAGTTAATTAATTAATTACCAGGTGGGGAATGACTTCACAGTCGCTGTTGGTTCGAAACTTGTGATTGGGAAGTTGTTTCCGGAGATCTTCATGATTGTATATTTCTCCATTGGCCTGTTTAATTTACTTTCAATATCAAGTTGATTATATATATATATATATATATATATGTATATATTAAAAAAAAAAGATATAATTGATTGAAGTAATAGATAATGAGAGATGAGAGACAAACGATGACGGCGACAGTGTTGTCTTCATTGAAGAGAGGCTGATCTCCCGAGGTGAGATCCACGATGGCGAGTCTCTGATGAGCCAGAAAGTTGCCTTCGTGTTGGAACACACCTATCCAGTCTGGTCCACGATGCTTCAACCTGTCATCTCATCCATTAAACAAACAATTTTTTTTTTATTAGCAAGGTATGGAAATCAAATATATAAAAGTACCGATTCAATAATTCATGATCAAAATCATAGTTAAATCATATCAAACAAGTCATAATCCGAGCATAAAATACTGATTTAAGAATTAATAATCAAAATTATAGTTAAATCATGTTAAATAAGTCATAAGCTGGTCATTTTATTAAACCGAGCAAGAAACAAACATATTGATCCGAATTTCCATTCTATGAAATGGCGAAATTGAAACAAGAAAAAGAAATTAATTCACGGTCTTTTTATGTAAAGGTAAAAGATGACTTGTGTGCATGACTGAAAAGTTAAGCACTTTTTTCTTTCAATATTATAAAACATTTTTTAAAGCATCATATAAAACAAATATAAGGAATTTTGATCTTTTAAGGTGAAATTAATAATTTTTTTTAAAAAATACTTTTAATTAGAATGTGTAATTAAGATTATTGAGATGCATATTTAATAAGTTCATAAGAATAAATATAAAAAAAATGTATAATTTTAAAAATAATTAACTAATTTATTAAGAGATATAATTCAGTTAAAAGTAATTTATAATACTCAAATATGAGACTAAGACAGATGGTAACACAGAATATATGATACAATGATTAGAATATAGTAATTAATAGTTGGGTGTGTGCATGTGTGTGGGGTTATTGAAGTGCGCAGTTTTATGGTGCATATCCAAAAGTGGAAATGCACCCCCCTGACAGCTTCACATGGGGTTTGCGTAAAAAAGGAAAAGGTAGCCCCAAAAAAAAAAAAAAAGAACAGGCGCAATTGTTGTATAAATTCTTGCAAATTCGAATTTAGACCGGATGCCTTATATTATTTACAAAAGTAAATGTATATAATATATGAAAAATATAAAAACGAACGGTAATATAAAGCTAGGAAAATGGCAATCAAGAATCTCTGGATAAAATTTATATCAATAAAAAATAAGTTATTATCAAAACCTGCCTGAAAAAACAAGCTCGGATAGGTAGTTGTTAATTTAAAATTAATTGCTGTCAAAACTTAATTAGATATTTAAACAAGTATTTTTTCCTGTTTTAAGAACAACCAATCTCTAACTAATATAAATTTCATACAGACGTTCTTCATTACTATTTTCCCTGTAAAGTTTATATACACATAAAGTTATATTCTTAAATTACTATTCCTCTATTTGAATCGCCTGAATATCTACATACACATATATATATATATATATACACACACACAGTGGAAGTAAATTGAATGATTAAAGGCAAAAAGGAAAGAAAAGAAAGGGAGGGAATGAGAAATATTGCCTTTGGGCAAGGTGGATGATGCGAGCCCGTTTGTCTGCAGAATCATCAGAGCACCAAAGACAAGCCAGAATGCCACACATGGTTGTTGGAGAGATGTGAAATAAGAGAGAAGAAGATCCAAAGAATTGATCGATGTGTGGGCTTTTCTCTTTTGCTTGCTTTTTGTCTCGCAAACAAGAGAGAGAAATGAATAGCTTTGCTTGAAGATGGTGTGAGTCTGAGTTGGAATGAAGCCTCCTATTTATAATGCTCGTCAGTCATCACTACCACCTCAAGGTGCTCTTGATGCAGTGCCCGTGCTCTCGTTTCCCTAGGCATGGCTTGCTGGCTAGCTAGTGGCGACCACTATTGATATTTTAAGACACTATATATGGATGATAGTTAGGCCCCACTGAATTAATTAATAGCAGTGACTGGTGAAAAAATTTTAACGTATTAGTTACACATATCATTACAAACTAAAATTTGTAAAATAAAATTCTAAAATTTATAATTGTATGAATTGATATTTTCAACTCATTTTAAAAAAAAGAAGAACTTGACTATCATTAATTTAATATTTTAGGACCTATTTGTCATGCATTAACCCTTGACCTCCTATTTGGTTGGGGGAATGAAGAAGGAAAATTTGAAAGAGTTTGATTTTTGAAAAAAAAAGAGAAAACAAGTGGGAGATTTAAATAATTTAATTGATTTTTTAATTACTCTTTAATTTTATCATATATCTTCTTTTTATTAAAGGTTATTTTTCCTTTAAACTTTTTGCTTGAGAAGTGATGGATACCCTATATTAAAAGGTGTGATAATAATTTTTTAAATAATTTTTTTATAAGAAAAATTATCCTTTTGTCAAAAATCCAACATCTTGTTCATTATTTGCTAGGGCCCACAAACAGTGACAGTATGACAATCTTACCCATTTTGCCACAATAGAATTTCAATGGGTTCCTACTATCGCCACTTTTAGTCTTTTTGACTCACGTTAAATAGTTAAAATGAGTTAAAATACCTTATTCTTATTGTGTTTAAAACTCACAACTATTCCACTTTAATAAAGATATGAAGAATATGACGAGTCTTTGACCAAAAAGTAATTTTGCTCTTGAAAATTTTTTTAGAGGGATACCATACCCTCTAGTATAAAGCGCTCAATACTTTTAAAAAATAATTTAGGAGGAAAATTGCTATTTAAACCTTTTTCTATTTTTTAAATCAAACTCAGTTAAATTTCCTCCTCAATCCTTACCATTCCCCTTAAACTATACAGATGGTAACTATCAGGGTTTTCTTTTATTTCAGTTTAGAATAAGGTTTTGATTTTTTTAGTTATATTTTCAATTAATATATCTATATATTATATTTAGATAATCTAAATTGTATTGGGAAACAGGAAAAACGTGATTTACTCTATCCTCGCTCTCATCTCATTGTGGACGATATTATATATGTTACTTGGTTTTACGGATATGGTTAAGTTGACAACTTGTATCTGCTCCTAAAAAAATAAAATTGACATCTTGAACAAATAATTTATTTTTGGCCAGATTTGAACAAATAATAATTCAATCATTTCCATTATCTGATTCAATCATCAAACTGCCATGCTAAGAAAAAGAGAGAACAGAGATTCTTGTTTTCTTGCTTCTTGAAATTTTTCTAAAATAATATGTTGAAAATTTATGTGTAGGACCTCATTAATTATTTATTGATTTGTTAAAAAGGGCTAACTAGTAGTCTCTTAAATATTAAAGCTATGTGATCATATACTTAATGGACCTGACACGCGATCTATCGAGTCTAGTTAGTGGATAAAGTATAAATCAATATTAACCTTAGCCTCCTAAAACCTATAGTGGGTGGACCCAGTAAGAATTATTAAATACGTTAATTAAATTTTACATAATATTTCTTATTTATACTATTTATAATTATGATTACATTTAGAAAAATATTAAAAAAAAAGTTGCATTGTCACATAATCAATTCTTTTTGGTGTCAAAAAAATAAACTCGAATCAATGTAATTGTGATCATTAGCAACAAACGAACTGTGAATTTAACCTTATACTTTAAACTGAGCTAAAGGGTAATCTAACTTAAACTATCCACAACACATCATATAATAGTCTATTTATAAAGTGCTTAATACTAAATCAATTATATTCATTGTCTTCAAAACCCATTATTAATACTAAAGACTGAGTAGATACATCATTTGGCTTAATAATTTAATATTTGTCTTATATTCTCTTCTACATTTAGCTAGTTGAGGAGTTTGTTCTGATTCCAAATTAATATAGAATTTCAATCTTCTTTATCTGCTCTAACATTTAATCAAGGGCATGGTTTCTGGATTAAATAATTAGAATGAGAGTATTTTAGGGAAATTGACACATATTCTTTAGAAATAATCGATCGACTTAACTAAGTTCTTTAATATGAATTAATTAATTATCTAGCTCTTATATTTATGGTCTTTGAGAGGAAAGAAAACAAAAGGAAGACAAAGTTGGAGAAATATAATGTTATCGCCTCTTATGTTTTGACAGAAAAGAGAAAACATGGAAGAAAGAAAATAGAAAATTGGCATAACAAAAATAATATCCTTATATGTCAAAATATATTAAGTCTTATGTCATAATTTTTATAATAATAAATTTAATATTTTAAAAATCGAACCAAATGACAAACCAAAAAGGTCAGCAAGTGATTTAGCCCGTTGAACTGATGATGATCGAACTAGTAATATAATAATTAAATAAAAATAATATTAATATGCACATATATATAACATTAAAAATACTGACAATATTATTTTCAGTTCAAAGTTGTTCAATCATAACATATTAAATTTTAATTTTCTCATTCTTTCATATGTCTATTTTTTATTTCTCTTCTTTGTCCTATTAAAGTAAATGAGTTTTCAATATTATTTTTTTTACACTTTCATTCATACAATGCCAATACACAAATCATATACTCAAAATTCTACTATAATAACTTAGAAGTAAGTTAATGTTAATATTTCTAAATTGAATAAAAACTTGTATTATAGAAATAAGAGTAAAAAGAAAAAATAATTCAAAATGGTCCAACTGTTTAGAGTTCTAAGTTAATTCCAGTTCGGTCAAAATACCTAGCTCAAAGCAGGCCAATCTCCAAAATAGATTAACAAGTCAAACCAAACTGCTTTTATATCTGAGTGATAGTCCAACTATCTTGGTTGGTATGCGTCTTAGATAAATAAAAGAAAAGGTATTTTCCCTCTTAATTATTTTTTCTTTTAATCTTCTTCCTCCCATCCAAGCAAGGGGTAGGATCACAAGGAGTGTACAAGTTACAATCATATGGTTTGACAGATCGAGGCAAATCCAATTCCAAATACATGAATTGGCGTAAGTATTTTGCCACGTTTTGGATTTATATGTTTAATTTAAAACTCATCTTTGTTTCTTTATATCTGCTTTTGTCCTTGTCATATCTCTCATCTCCGTTTAGCCCAGCGTGTCGTGTCCACTCCTTTTCTGCACCCGCACTATCTTATCAAAATAAAATAATACATAAATTTATATAATTAATGAGAGTCCCCGCATCTCAAATCAATAATATTTAACTGCACACATGTTTATAGAGATCGGGCGGTTCCTGAATAATTTGATTTAATTTTCCTCATACACAGTTTGTTCTAAAACTTATATCAATTAATGATATGCACTAATGATTGACACATTATTTATTATTTACATATGTATTTTATTCAAATACAAAAATTATATATATATATATATATATACACATATATCCTTTTTTGCGGTAGTTCACATCCAAGTCCGTTGACTTGTTTTTGCTACATATCATTATTACTTTTATTACTTTCTTTACATGAAGATGAAATCCAAGCAGTTGAAAATTATATCAAGCCATTATTAAGTTTATTTAAGGGAAAATATAATTGTTAGTGCCTATACTTTTAACATGTTTTGATATTAATCCTTATAATTTTTTCATTGCCCCTAATCCTTTAAGTTTGATTCATTTACAATGTCATTAATTCCTATACACATAAAGTTCATTACTTAGTTTGTTGACATGTTAAAATTATGATAAGTAGAATTAAAAAAAATTAGTATAAAGCAAAAACAAAAACTCAAATAATGGCTACTAACTTTTCTATCCTAGTTGTTGCTCTTCTTAGTTTTGAAGCTTCACATTAACGGGAATTGTCGGTTTAAAGATTCTAATTTAATCCTTTTCTTTCTTTATTTTTTTGGCCTTTTACTCATTTTTATCCAACTTATTATAATTATATATATATATATATATATATCAGAAACATAATTAACAGAGTTAATATACATATCAATGAAGTTAAGTCCTTATGAGTATATTTAAAATTATAGGGATTAACGTATTAGAGATTAAAAAAAAAAGTCCACATCTAAAATTAGAAGATCGACCATGAATATATATAACTTGTAATGTGTTTGATCAAATGACTTAAGTTATTTTGGTGAAATAAATTATCATTAAACATACTTAATATACATAATTTAACATGGTATATATCAATAGCCATTCCATCTATGGATACAAGAAAATACAATAAAAAACCCCACAAAAGAAATGAAGAGAAAAAAGCAGGAAAGAGGAAAAAATTGAAGATAATACGTAGCTAAGGTCTTTAAGACCCCCAAAAAAAAAAATTGCAAGTTCGGCAGAAGAATAAAATGCATGAAAGCAATCAACATAATTAATTTTTTGTATTCTTTTTCATATTTAGAGTACCTTTATTTCATAAATTATAAATAATATGTTATTCCAAATTTCATAGTAATCTCTCCATTGTGTCATGGAACCTATTGACTACATATCCGGTTCATTATGGAATTCAAAAACACAACACTCACAACTTTTAAAAACTATATATGTTCTAAAAATAATTTCAAAAATGCCTCGATCAAGTAATTCAATAATTATTCTTGTCTTTTATCTCACGATGGTATTGCTATTGTATGCCCCCCTTCTCTCTCTCTCTCTATATATATATCGATTTCTATTGTATGAGGATATTTGATTGAGTAATGGATAACATCTGAAGGACAATGAGCTGGCTAATTTTGTTCCACTCATATTCATATTTCTTTGTCGAATTTGGTTTGTAATATTCATTAATGAATCATGTCTTGACCTAAAGCTAGATACACTCAATAATTGGAACACCTAAACCAAAAAATATTTTTTTTTTTGCTTAGCATATATGATTGATGAATATATATGTTGTTGTGGGTCTTCTTCGATTAGGGTCCATATCTTTTAAAAAATGATGTTGATTGTTTCATTTTACGTGGCATATGATTTCAGGACTTTATGTGATCTAAAAATTTCGTTTGTTTTTATTTCCTTTAGGAAAACATTAGGGTTGGATTGCAAATATATAAGAGGGGAAGGGGGAACTTCTCACTTAGATCTGTATAGAAGAGATCATTTGTGATCTTATCTTTCTGAAATTTTGATTTTAATATCTTGACAATGGATCTGAGCATTTTATGAATAGTTTCATTAGTTTATATTTTCTCTTTTTATTATTATTATTTTGTTCCTCCTCCTTGTTCTTTTTCTTTTCTAATTGATTTGGGAGCTTTAGTATGTTTGGTTTAAATTTTATGAATGTTTTACACATTCAGATTTTTTTTTTTGGGCACGCTTGGTAACATGAGGATTTGAATTTAGATTTGGATTTGAACTAAATTCTCTATTTGGATGCATAAAATCTTTGGAAAATTCATATTTTATCATAATTTTTTATAATTTTAAATTCTCTTTAACCCTAAATATTTATTTCACCTACTCTAATGCTCTTATTTTCTTCACATTTTCACTATTGATATCTTTGTTAGTCTTGTTACTCCTCGTATTTCTCATTCTTTACTATCACTAAAGAATAAATGAAATCTCATCACTTTCAATCTTTCATTTATATTTTAAATCTCAATGCATCTATCTTTATTACATTTAAAAAATTTTATACTATCTAAGTAAAGAATTTTAAATCATGGATTTTAAATGTGAGGTTTTAAACCTAAGATTTTAAATTAAAATTCACCAATCCAAACACTATCTCAAATTATATTTATCTTTTTTATGTTCAATCACAAAAGGATCTAATCAATAGGCGAGTTTGATGAACTGAGAAGTAAACAACAAATAACCTAAACTTAAAGAGGACATAAGTAATTAAGCTAAAAATATATTAGAAATTTATGAATCTAGCCTTAAGTTATGGTTAGTATTTGTGTTGCATAAGAGAATTCAATCTTCCATTGAATATGGATAAGTTGATACTAAGACAAAATTATGTCACTTCAGTGACAATAATCACTATAATTACAAAGAGTTAACTAAGAGTGAGACTTTTAATCATTTAAATTATAAGAGTTAACAAAATTATAGTGACTTTTAACAGAGTCACTATACTTTAATCTTCTTTTCTGACTTTATAACTACTTCATTTACTTTCAATCAACTTAATACTCATTTGCTTGAATGACTTCTAGCCATACTGTAACCATTATTACTCATGATTTTAATAACCATGAAAAATATCATTATCTTAATAAACATGGAAAAACATTGTTACCTTTAATTCTCAATTTGGACTTGCTCATATGTGATCATTGTAATGTCTACCTTAACATTATTAGGACAATACTCTAACACGCAGTTATGATAACCCGGATTAATTAAAATCCCAAGAAAAAGTTATCACAATCCAAGGGTTTAAAGGTAATTAGTTTAAAATATTAGAATCCCAAGAAAATCTTTTTTCAAAAGTTATTTAAGCTCAAACTATAACTTAGAGTAATTCATATGCGATAATGAAAGCATGAAAATACTAATCGGTACTTAAATATTACAAAAGAAGCAATTTGGGAAAATATAAAATTTGCACTATCTGCCATAGCAAATGGCACAGAGGGACGAGTCCCTCAACATGAATTGCACCGCAGCAAGACAACATGCTTTGTGGTGTGTGCCTATTGCCATGACAACAAATTGCTACCATAACAGTACTCTAAAATTTTAGAACATGTCGTTTCACCATCTGATGTCCAATTTGAGCAGTTCAAGTGTTCACACGAAGCTCTTCAAGCCTCTAACTAATGGCACCAATCACACTTAAATTCTCAACCATTAAAAAAATAGACACCCGAACCCAAAATGGTCCATTTTCATTTCAAAACACACCCAATGGTGTCCAAAACCTGAAACCTAGTACCATTAGCTTTGAAACTACTTTAACCAACTCAAATAGACCACACACGACATATCAAGCCAATCATATCACACAAATAACTTTTCACACACAAAATGACTACCAAACTCCCAATTCTCAACAATGCAATAGGGTGGATCAAATTCAACATAATAATCATTTTATCCTTTTCAACACATAAACATCTCAATCATATCACTTATATTAGTATCTTGGCCTTTTACACACATTTAATCACTATCACGATAAGCTTAGGCCGAGATACGCACACATTCCACAAATTCATACTAGTGATTACCAAAATAATGAAATGTTCCTAAGTTGGCACAATATTTAAAATATTCATTACAAAGACCAAAATGATGAGGCAAAAGAGCTTTACAAAGGAGCTCTTCACTCTTCAGTTGCCCCTTCCTTTCCCTTGCCCCTACTAGAGCCCTCACTTGTAAAATATAACCCATGGGTGAGATAAACATCTTAGTAACAAAATAATTTACTACTACCAATTAACATACACGAGTAAAAGCAAGTAAAGCTTATATGCTTCAAAAATATTCTTTTAATATATTCAACCATATACTTTCCATGAACACAAGTTATTTACCACTAGCATAATTATTTTACCATCTGAACCTCCATATCACTCCAACTGAAACCATAAGCTCTTGGACTAAGTGCACATTTACAATGGCCCGAGCTCACCTTTAGTGGTAGGATCACTCTGCCAAAGGTGTCATACCCCACATCTGTACTATAGTCTTCCCCTTATCACAAACGAATTGGGGTGTCATTACTATAACACCACATCTTTGATGCTAAGGAGTGTCAATCTCCAATGCTGTATCCCACTTGGATACTAAGAAGATAATCTCCAACATCGTGCCTTACTAAACACTAAGGACATACATGCCATATGGACTTCTACTACTCCTTCATATGGGTGAACTCCTACCCCCTATCATGATCATGCTCATACAACTCATATAACACATATTCCTTTCCAATTCTCATTAATTTCATATCAGAACTTCATGATCTCATAGTTTGAAATTGTTTCACATGCACAAAATCATAGTTCTACTTTCAAATCACAAGTAGAAAATTTACATATCTACATATAGACAATTAAGCAATATAATCTAATAGTATAAATTATTTTATTACCTTAACTGTTTGTTACAAAAGGATTACCATGGTTTAACGTTAGCTCCACATGTTCTCAACGCACGATAAGGCTTGAGCACACTCAATCTACACAATTTAGCAATTATTATCAATTGCTACTTGAAATAAACCTCAAATTCACTAGGTTCCAAGTACCCATAACTCTCAAATTTCTTATTTAACAACGTCAACCCTTCCAAAACATTCTAGCAATCCTATTTAGCATCTAGACATACCAAAATCATCAACCAACTATCCACATTATCCCAAAACCTCAAATTCTCACATAAGGTTTGTTTAAACCTTAGTCAAAAACTCCAAATCACCATAAAACCTAAAAACCTAAGGTTAAAGGCTTGATTTAACTCTCTAAACCTTAACTAAGTCAATGGGTTCAGTCATTACTCAAGAAAAACTAAATCCAAGCCTCAACCATACCCAAAAGCATCAAAATTTGCATAAAAGGGAGAGGGAGATGTGAGGGAAGCTTACCCAAGGTGTAGCAAGCTCAAAGTGCCTCCAATGTGACATTGGAAGCAGGCCTTAGTAGCCTCAAGCCTTCCACCATTGCTGCTCTCATTTTCTTTCCTTCCTCTCTTCTAATTTTTGATTTTTTTTGTGATTGATAAGTGCAAATTTTTGCGCATGTGTTGCAGCACATTAGTGCATCCATCACAGCACATGGCACAAAGAATCCCAAACTCATTTTAGGCCTCTCTCTCCATATCATGTCCCACTTGATCTCTGAGCTAGCCCTCTTCTAAGGTCTCCTAATGATCCATTAGCTACATTAGCCTCCCAAAAACACCATCAAACAATAATTTATCTAATTTATCCAAAACACCCTTATAAATACTAAAAATTCCCAGGATTAAAGTCTAAGATGTTACAATCATAACAAAATAAATATACTAATTCTTAATCTTTAGGACTATTACTTTTTGGTGACATAATTTATTGTAAACTATCAATTTTCAGGACTATAGCAAAAATATTTTTCAATGTTGTCAAAGCTTTTTGATGGCATGAATTTAAATCATCATTAGCCTTTAGGCCATAGTTTTGTTCTTTTTTGAAACAAAAAATGTAAAAGACCATTATCAAAAGTGATGTGGTTTTTGGCCATCTAATCACAAGATCAAGAGTACCATGGATGTCAGCCATATATTCATGCATTCAATAACTTGCTTTCCAACATAACACTAAATGATAAATACATAAAAATACACCTTGATAATAAATCATAAAATATAAGTAATAATAAAGCATGAAAATATAAGAATATTAGGAAACAAAAATCAAACTAAAATTCTCATTCTTCAATAGAATGAATAAGTATATTCTATTACTTATGAACCCTTAAGGTAAATACCTTCTTTAAAATTGCAATATCATCATTCCATCTAAAGAAACTAAATCTGAAAATTTTACTATGCCAAATGAATTGACCTATCTCCACGTGACCAGAAGAATTAACAAATGATCAACAAAGAACCCTTAGGCTTCATGCTTTATACTAATTCAGTTGAATCTCATACTAATAACATGTTATAAAACTATAATGAAAAATTAATAATATAATAGAAGTAGGAGAGAAATGTAGAGGTACTGTAACCCTTCCCTACATCCACCAGGTATAGGAAAGGATTAACTTAATCACCTCTCTTACCATACCAAAACAGAATCAAATTCTTTATTTGAAAAGCTTGGGTCTAAGACTTGTTTTGCAATATCATCAAAATCATAACACATCAAAGCCATACACAATGAAATGTAAATCATATGCATTCATATATACTATTGCATGCCATCAAAATAGAGAAATAAGGTTAGTTTAAGGGCCATGTGCCACGACGGGCAACACAAGCGCTACAGCATGTGGCATAGAGCCATACGCCTAGACCTTCTTTGTGTCATGCACCGTAGCATGGGACGCCATGCACCTGATTGAGCTTGTTCTTCTCTCTTCCTCCTCTTGGTGTCCATCAATTCCTTATCAGCCAATACAAAACTGCCAAAAGACTTTATTTGGGAGCAATTATTCTTCCTTCCAACTTCTTATGCCTTTCTTCTCCTTTCCTGTAAATTAGAATTACAAAATATTCATTATCTAATAAAGATAATGATATATAATTAAAATATATAAAAAATAATATATTAAAATAAACTAATTCACTAGAGCATTTGGCATAATCCGAAGCCTAACGAATTCTTCAAAAGTAGCTGCATCAAGAAACATGTATTGGGTATAAGGATTAGGCCACAGTTGTCCTTCTAGCAACTCAATATGCACAAATCTCTTAGCTAGTGATGTCTTAAAATTCCTCCAATAATCACAAGCCCAGGTCATCAACCTATGCTTAAAGTCCATACTAGTGGGGACATTGTATATGACCTACAATACATGCCATTGACATAGTTAGTGATATAGTCATAATAATTAGTAACAAATAGTGATAACAAGTGATAAAAGTAAGTTTTTCATACATTGATAGCTTCCCATATATGTTCCTTCACTCATTCTAGGACATCATTCGATGTGGTTGCCAATATACTTGGCTTGCTTTGAGCTTGAAGGCCTAAAAAACTGATAAATTTGTCCTTATTAGGCCTGATTGGCTTCTAATTGTCATCAAACTGGATCAGAATCTTCTCACCTCTACTCGAACTCAGAGCCAACTCTGTTAATCTTGTGCCACTTCTAGGTCTCCTAAATTGTGTAGAGTAGCTACTACCCTTAGTTTGGGAACTAATAGGCACACTGTCATCACCACTGGTAGACACAATCGGAGTAGAAAGGTCAAGCTAGTCCTGATTAATGCTCTAATCCTCCATGTTCCTATTTAGACAATAAGTAAAAATTAGTGATATAACAAATAAATAAAGCATGTTCTAGTATGAATAAAACACAAGAAATAACCATACATATTCTAAATAAATAACTAACTTTTAACATATTTTTAAATAGTAATATTCTCTCATATCCCTTCATGGTGATCATCTCTTGTGCCATGTTCGTCATCTATTTCATCTTCTACATTCAGTACAGGCAAGCCTATTGAGAAAGAAGGAGTCTTTAAACTATTAAAATTTAAACAATCCTTCTCATCAATATTAACCTCCCTTTTTCCTTCAAGAACTATTGACCATATTTCACTTCTCATATCCGTGACATAAAATGCCTATTTTGCTTGGTCTGCCATAATAAAAGGTTCATTGCCAAAAATTAGAGTATTTAAGTTGACTAATGTAAATCTCATCCTATTACTACTACAAAAAAGGGAATATATGATGGTTATTTTAGTCCATAAATGATAATTAATAAGCATCATTTATTCAGCTGACATTTAAAGACCACCAATAAATGACAATTATACAACTATCATTTAAAATAAAATTTTTACAGAAGGAGAAGCAAAATTAGAATTTAAAAATGACGGGTAAATAAGATACCCATCATTTAAAGGAAGTATAAATAATGGGTAAATTACTTACTCATCATTTAAAGTTTTCATTTAAATGATGGGTATCTTATTTACCCATCATTTAAAGTATGGTAATAATTCAGACCATACTTTAAATGACGGGTAAGTAAGATACCCGTCATTTATAGTAAATAAGATACCCATCATTTAAATTCAGTATAAATGACGGGTTTATTTATTACCCGTCATTTATTTCAGAATAAATGACAATTAGTTATATAACCATTATTTTTTATGTGGCTTTTTTTAATACGTGAGTTGTTTTTATACCAGCCCCCTACAAAAAGAAATCAAAATAACAACAGCCAGCTATTCCAGATTTGAATATCAATAAAATTTATTGTATTCAATTTCAAAATTAATCAATAAACAAATGTAATTACATAAAGTAAACTATTTTCAAAAATAAACTACTTATTAAAAAAATTTCCTAGCTACTTCTTCAAGGTAGTAGTTCTATTGATCTTCTTTGTGTGAGGTCCATACTTAGAAAATGTATTGACACCATTCTTCAATTATCTCATTTATTTATGCATCCTTGAATTCTTCAACATAAGAATTATCATAGTACTGCAATATATAAATAATTCACCATATATTAATATAATTTTAATACATTAAATATTTTTGTAATTTAAAAGTTAATATTTTTGACATACCATCTCGGGAATTATGCTCTCGTTATGGATAATGATATCCTTCATGGACCTCATAATGCAATAGCCACAATCCAAGCTATTTTTTTTCTTGGACACTAAAAATTAAAGAATATATGAATATGTATTAATGCATTAAAATTCAATTTAATAAATGATTCCAATTACCTTAATTATATTCCAAGTGTAGGCGGCATCAAAATTTATAAAGGACCTTGGAATTGATTGTTTTATGTTAGTGTAGTATAACACAATCGCCCTAATGAAACAATAAAAAATATGTTAGTATGAAATTTAAATAATTAAATAAATATGTAAAATACTTTATGTACTTACGTATTAATCAACTCCAATAAAATTTGTCTCCTCCCTAGTTCCCCTCCAAGAGAATCGAGATAATATATCTTTAGAGTGTTGCCGAATGGTTCAGCAGCGATCAACATCCAATGGTCCCTAATAGTATTAACAAGCATTGCAAAATTATAATTAATCTATCAAATTGAAAATAAAAAAATTATTGAGATAAGTGAGAATTTCATTACCCTTGATAGTATGGTATTATGAATAATGTTCCCTTTCGAGCCCTTGCTTTGAAATTTTTGCTTAATGCCTTTGCTTGTTCTAAAATTTCGTCACTTTTAATTAAGGCATGTGCACCTACTTCATAAGGATTAACGAAGATAAACTTCATTTGTAGATTGAAAGGGATAAAGAATTTGTCATACAATCACCTATTATAAATACAAGAAATGAATTAGTTTATATTTAAAATATTAACTATCCATATATGGAAAAAAATTACCGTATGCAGAAGCTGAGAATAGTGAGACTGGTCATATCATGTTGAAGCACTTCATCAACAACATCAAGAGAAAGCATATCATATCGTTCTTCACCATATATACCAACCTCAAACGGGATTTGCAAGACCAAAGGATTAAACCTATATACCATTGCATATGCCTGGAGCAAATTTTTGTGTTAGCTTGGCAATTGAGGCTCTTATTCAGGCACAGCTTTATGGGAAACTGCCTTTTTAGAAGAGCCTAGATTGGGGTATCATCTTTTTTTTTTTACTGTGCATCTTTGCTAGTCTGTTTTAGACTTGGCATCCTAACTTGACTAGCTTGCCATCTAATAAAACTACCTATCGCCTCTCCAACAATCCCTCTGTCCTCAATGGGAATAGGTAGTAGATAGTTCAAATCCGTTGGCACATCAATAGCAACACGTACATAGGATGCAAGGAGTGGCATATTATGTAACATGTCTCCCGACAAATTAAACACCCAACCGATAGCAACCACATGACGATTCAGGCTATTTGTCAACAACTCACATAGGTTCTCACCCTATATTAATATGTAATATACTATATTAAAGTTATGGGAAATAGAAATAGTAAAATATAAGTGAAATAAATTAATAATGTTTTACCTCAGGGAGATTTTTAATAGGCTGCATAACACTGTAACTACCTTTCCCACTAGGACTAATATGAAACTCTGCCTCCTGCCTCTCCTTCTCTTTTAGCAAAGCTTCAATCATGTCTCGTTGCCTAGATAACTCCTTTTTTAGGGTGGCAATCTCAGCCCTTGCACCCACATCATCTGTTGACCTTGCTTTCTTCTATGACCTGAATATTTATTTTTTTTGAGACACTAAAGCCATATCCCCTAGCTTGACCAGGGTGTTTAGGATTACCCAATGCCTTGCCTAAGACATCATTATCAGGCGTGCCACTTTTCTTGTCACACCCCAAAATAGAGGGTGACCGGCACGGGTATGAGTCACTTACACATTCCCGTAAGCCTTAAAATAAACATTGATTTCATTTTTTCATTTTTTTTTACAAAAAAAAGGAACAAAATTTAATCAAATCCTATGAAAATTTAAAATAACTTATTGGATTTAATATTATAAAAGAGTGTCGATATTTTTGTAAAAATTTCGGCAGAACCTCCCCTGTAACTAGGATCTCCCGAGAATTCTACAACAAAATTCTGACAGATAACAGTATAAATCAGGAGCGTAGCTCCTTCCAGCCAACAACCCATATACAGATCAAAAATAAAGTTTATCAACAACCTATGTGGAGCATCTATTCTTCTCTCAAATCAAAAGGACATACAAATTATATATTTACATAAAGACAATAATACCAATCAAAATATCCACCCACTGTAGCTAGTTGCCCTTTTGAGGTTGCTGGTAGAATCGGCGTCAGCTAACCAATCTGAAGCCAAATAATTTTTCCAGTGAATAGCATTCCCATAATAAAATTCTTAAAATTTAAATTGACAGTCTCTAATAATGGTGTCAAATAATTGAAAGTAATTCCACCAAAATTATAAGCATATAAATTATAATCATATTTGAAAAATAAGAATAAGTAGAGAACAATTTATGTTCTCATGCTTAAAGAAACCATTTGCTCTCATATAACTCAAAGTAATACAAATTACTAGTCAACACCGGATAAATTTCAAAAAATACATATTAATCAACATTTAAAATTTCGAGAACTCAACAGAACAGGTTACAAACGTGAACACTCAGTCCACGAGGGTAAATAACCAAACGCGGCTTATGCCACGAAAACAAACGTGGACACACCAGTCCACGAGGGTAAATAACCAAACGCAGCCGGAGCGACGAATCAAACGTGGACACACAGCCCACGAGGGTAAGTAACCAAACGTGGCTCAGGCCACGAAATCAAACGCGGGTATGAAGCCCACGAATACCAAACGTGAGAATAAAACTCACGAAACAAACTAGCTAGTATTTAACCACAGCGCGCTACGGACTAACGGAACTGCCGTTAGTAACAGTGTTCTGTGTAAAGTTCTCTTAGAAATCCCATTTCAACATGCGAGAGAAATGATTATTTTGAATTTAAATTGTCATTTTCAAAATCAAACTCGCATGAATTGTGTCAAATCTCAACGTTTGTCAAAATCATAACTTTGTATTAATCGAGTATCCAATAAATTTCAAAGTTTAACAACCATACAAGATTACTTCCATCAAACTTGGAAATATCTTTGTAAAAATCAATGAATGCATATATCATAACTCGTTTGTCTTTCACTGATATCTTAAAATTTTCATAATTAATATAATTCATAAGAAAAATAATTCAGGAAGAGGCTATTAAAATAAAGATAAAATATTAAATGGAATGCTATTCACTTACTCGTCGGAGCTTCAAAATTTTTAAAGATATCCTTTCTTTCAATTTTGGTCAGGTTCCCTTTCTTCTGCACACCCTATTAGAATATAAATAAATAAATAATTAAATAATTAAATAAATTTGTCCTGGGTATTTTACCAAACAACATACATACATACATAATTGTCGAAGTTGATGTTAATGTTTTTCCTTCCTAATTTTTTTTTTCAGTTTTATTGAGATCTTGCAATATCGTCTAATTCCATAATTTCTAATTGGAATCTCAATCTACAATATCATCTTGCTTCCTTGCATAACCGCAATATTCATTTAAATAGAAATTCCTCCTCTCTTCTTCTTCCTTTTTCTTCTTTTTCTTACGTAACAGCATGAATAATGACAGAACAATGTGAGGTTGCCATGATTACATATACCAAACAGTAATAGTAGCGCATACAACTCTACTTCTGCATTTCACGTATACGCACGTCACACATGTCCTTATCTCTTACTCTCACGACATAGTGGATTAGCAATAGGAGAGTTTAAAATTTCTCACCTTCTCAACCCAGATGGCAGCGGACAACAAAGGAGAAAGAAGAAGAAAATGAAGATTGCAGCAGAACAGGGACGCAGAAAACTGAGCACTACTCGCAAGGAAACACAGGAAATGAATCAGCAACAATAATCCATATTCATAACAGCACTGCCGCAGCTCTGGCAACTTGGTTTCTCATCCCAGCTGTTACTCGAAGATGACGCCACAGATAGAACCAAAACAGAAAACGAAGAGGAAAAAAAAACAGAGACAAAGAGCACGAAAGATAGCCGGAGCAATCGGTGCAGCACAAGTCTCCAACTCTTTCTTACAATAATCACTGGTGATAATAAAGAGAAGGAAGATCTAAATACTCACACATGCACCTGGATAAAGAAGGGAGAAAGAGCTCGGTGATCTGAAATAAATAAAGAAAACAGAGTGCAAAGATCACTCGTTGACTGACCAACGACAGATGGAGTAAAGGCAAGCGTACCGACGATAATAACAGCTAAAACTGAAGAGAAGCAGCAACGATTCAAGGAGGAAGAAGGAGAAGGTTTAGCGTGCTCTTTTATAACACCCAGAACAGAGGAGAAGGCGAGTTGCAGCTCGAGCCCGCATACACATCAGACGGCGTCACGGCAAGGAAGAAGGAAGCCACTTACGCACACCTCAATCCACTAGCAACGGCGGACGGAACCTCAACGCCAGTGACTGCTGTATACGGAGGAAGTGAAATTTCTAGACCTAGGATTTCTCTTACTCTCTCCACCGACTCTCTCTTTCTCTTTTGCTCCAGAATCCTTTCTGAAGAACAAAAGAAGAGTAAATAAAAATATAATTATGTTAGGGGTAATTTGGTAATTTTCTTATGAGGAAAATCAGCAAAGGAAGAAAAATATTCTATGGGCTCACTACGGTTCGAACTTGGGACCAAATGAAAATAATCCAGCCCAACTACCACTACATCAGCTTCCTCTATTAGCATAATTGTATAAGGATTTAATATAAACATACATAAACCAATTATCATATATATATATGTATATTAATTTATTTTTATAAGGGTTATCACATTCTCCCCCCCTTAAGAAATTCGGTCCTCCGAATTTAAATTTATACTTACCTTATTCCATAAATAGGTGTGGGTACTTAGCACGCATGTCGGCTTCAATTTCCCACGTGGCTTCTTCTTGAGAATGATTTCGCCATAGCACTTTCACCAAAGTGATTTCTTTTGACCGCAACTTCTTAACTTGTCGATCCAAAATAGCTACTGGAACTTCTTCATAAGATAAGTCTGGGGATATTTGAATCCCCTGAGCTTCAATTACATGAGAAGGGTCATATAAATATTTCCGTAACATTGATACATGAAACACCGGATGAATACCTGACAATTCAGGCGGTAACGCCAAACGATAAGCAACTGCACCAATTTTTTCCAGAATTTCAAATGGACCAACATATCTTGGGCTCAATTTACCCTTTTTCCCAAATCTCATTACTCCTTTCATAGGAGACACCTTAAGAAATACTTTGTCTCCAATTATAAATTGTAATTCTCGACGTCGATTATCAACATAAGACTTCTGTCGATTTTGGGCTGTTATTAATCTTTCTCTAATTATTTTCACTTTCTCAATAGCATCTTGCACCAAATCTGGTCCCAACAGCTTAGTATCACCAACATCAAACCACCCAATAGGAGACCTACATTGCCTGCCGTAAAGTGCTTCATATGGGGCCATTTGTATGCTAGATTGATAACTGTTGTTATAAGAAAACTCTACCAAAGCTAAGTAACGGTCCCAACTGCCACCAAAATCCAGAATACAAGATCTTAATATATCTTCAAGTATCTGAATGGTTCTCTCAGACTGGCCATCAGTTTGTGGGTGAAAAGCAGTACTAAGGTCTAATCGAGTGCCCAAAGCTTCTTGGAAAGATTTCCAAAATCGGGAAGTAAATTGAGGACCTCTATCAGAAATTATGGATATTGGAATTCCATGCAATCGCACAATCTCATCAATATATAATTGAACATATTTATCAACATTATATGTTGTCTTTACTGGAATGAAATGAGCTGATTTCGTCAGTCTATCAACAATAACCCAGATAGAATCATACCCCTTAGCAGTGCGAGGTAACCCGGTGACAAAGTCCATTGTGATATTTTCCCACTTCCATTCTGGTATTTCTAACCTTTGGTGTAGCCCAGCTGGCTTTTGGTGTTCTGCCTTAACTTGCTGGCATGTCAAACAGCGTGAGACAAAGTCTGCCACATCCTTTTTCATGCCATCCCACCAATACAGTTGTTTCAAATCTTGATACATTTTAGTTGCTCCTAGATGCACGGTATATGAAGAATGATGAGCCTCTTCCATGATAAGTCGTTTCAAGTTTTCCTCGTGTGGCACGCAAATTCTACCCTTGCACTTTAATATTCCTTCCTGGTCAATTTCAAACTCAATGTTACTTCCAGCTATAACTGCTTCTTTTAACTTGCATAATTTTGGATCTGAAAATTGAGCACTCTTAATCTGATCCATTAAAGAAGAACGAACTTGTACATGAGCCAGAAATGGTCCCTTATCAATAATTTCAAACTTGACTCCACTCTGCTCAAGTTTATGAATTTCTTGCACCAAAGGCCTCCTTGTCGAAGTCATGTGCACCAAGCTACCCATCGATTTTCTACTTAAGGCATCAGCCACCACATTTGCCTTACCAGGATGGTAAAGAATTGTACAGTCATAATCCTTCAGTAACTCCATCCACCTTCTTTGTCTAAGATTAAGATCTTTTTGCTCAAAAATGTACTTTAAACTCTTATGATCAGTATAGATTTCACATGTCTCACCATAAAGATAGTGACGCCAAATTTTTAACGCAAAAACAACTGCTGCCATCTCTAGGTCATGAGTTGGGTAGTTTTGCTCGTGTTTCTTAAGTTTCCTTGAGGCATAAGCAATAACTCGTCCATGCTGCATTAGAACACAGCCTAAACCCACACGAGAAGCATCGCAATAAACTACATACCCTCCATTGCCTGATGGTAAACTCAAAACTGGTGCCGAAGTCAAACACTCCTTTAACTTTTGAAAACTGTCTTCACACTTGTTACTCCATTCAAATTTCACATTCTTTTGAGTTAATCTTGTCAGTGGAGCTGCTATTTTAGAGAAATCCTTGACAAAACGACGATAATATCCTGCAAGACCTAAGAAACTGCGAATTTCTGTAACAGTTGTTGGCCTTGGCCAATTTTGCACCGCTTCTACTTTGCCTGGGTCCACTTGAATACCATTTTTAGAAACAACATGTCCTAAAAAGGTAACTTTATCAAGCCAAAATTCACATTTAGAGAATTTGGCATAAAGTTATTGTTCCCTCATCGTCTGTAAAACCATCCGTAAATGATGTTCATGCTCCTCTAGGCTCTTTGAGTATATCAGAATATCATCAATAAAAACAATCACAAACTTATCAAGAAACGGTCTAAACACCCGATTCATTAGATCCATAAAAGCTGCTGGTGCATTAGTTAACCCAAATGACATTACTAGGAATTCATAATGACCATATCGGGTTCTAAATGCAGTCTTAGGTATATCCTCTTTCTTGATCTTTAATTGATGATAACCTGAACGTAAATCTATTTTGGAAAAATACTGAGCTCCTTGCAACTGATCAAAAAGATCATCTATACGAGGCAATGGGTACCTGTTTTTCACCGTCACCTTATTAAGCTGCCGATAATCAATACAGAGTCTTAATGACCCATCCTTTTTCTTCACAAAAAGTACTGGTGCTCCCCAAGGAGATGTGCTAGGTCGGATAAATCCCTTATCTAACAGTTCTTGCAATTGAGTCTTTAGTTCTCTCAGCTCAGAAGGTGCCATTCTATAAGGTGGAATAGAAATTGGTTGAGTGTCCGGAACTAAATCAATGGCAAATTCAATCTCTCGATCAGGTGGCAATCCAGGTAACTCTTCTGGAAAAACGTCAGGAAATTCCCGAATAACAGGAATTTGATCCAAACTAACAGTGGGTTTATCAATGTCCCTTATCACCGCTAAAAAACCTTGACAACCCTTCTGCAGTAATTGTTGGGCTTTTAAAGCTGAAATAAGATTAGTAGGTCTTTCTATAAAACTTCCTTGCAATATAAAAGAAGTTTCACCTGGAATATCAAATTTCACTACTTTTAAGTGACAATCAACGGTAGCATAGCAAGAAGCTAACCAGTCCATGCCCAGGATGACATCGAAATCAATCATATCAAGCATCATCAAATCAATAAGGGTTTCTCTGCCCTCAAGAGACACTTCACAAGACTTGTACACATAAGAAACAATTAAAGATTCCCCTACTGGAGTACCAACTACAAATGACTTATCAAGTTGGATAGGTTCTTTACCCAACCTCTTAGCAAAATAAGCGGACACATATGAATGAGTGGATCCAGGATCAAATAATGCATAAGCTTGATTAGAACACACAGTTATAATACCTGTAACAACAGCATTTGAGGCTTTAGCATCCTGTCTTGTCATGGCATAAACTCTCGCCTGCCTTTGTCCTAAGGAAGATTGTCCCCGCTGACCATTTCCCCTTCCAAATTTACCCCTGCTAGCTGAAGTAGAAGCAGTTCTAGCAGGTGGGATTGATGAGGAAGTAGGGCGAGGAGAAGGTTGAATTGATCCGTGACTTGACACAGACTGTAGATATGGACAATTTCTTCTCAAATGGCCCGTCTGTCCACATTCAAAACATGCACCAGACACTCTATAGCACGGTCCCGAATGATATTTTCCACAACTATTACAAGGGACTCTAGCATAACCTGATTGATTCGGCACTGACTGGGCTCGAGGTCTCACATTACCAGAATTGGGTCTCACAACGGGAGTGCTTACTGATGGTGAACCAAATGATCTAGGCTTAGATTGTGAGGCACGAAAGTGAGATTGACTTGAAAATTGATGACTCTTGGAAGAAGAACCAGGAAATTTCTCATCATGCTCCCTCTTGCGTTTCTTAGAAATTGCTTCTTCTGCCTTATGTCGATTCTCAATTCTCAATGCACTATCAACAATCTCAGCATAGGTGATATCACGACTCAACATAGGTGCTATGTTGTCATGTATGTCAACTGGTAATCCTTGTACAAACCTGCTAATTCGTTCTTTTTCAGTCGGTATAATATGAGGAGCAAAAGAGGATAATTCAGTAAACTTCTGGTCATATTCTACTATAGACATTCCTTTACTACACTTTAAAGTCAGAAAATCTTCAACTTTTGCGTCTCTAGTGCTCTGAGGCAAATAGCGATTTAGAAATGTAGTCTTGAATTCTTCCCAAGTGAAAGAAGGTGCTCTCGTTGCATGCAAACCTGGGACTGTTTTTGCCCAAGTACTTGCTACCCCTTGAAGTTGGAACACTGCAAATTCAACATACTGAGCATCAGGGCATCTCAAGGCCCTACATCTCTTCTCAATTCCTTCGAGAAACTCAATTGGGTCCTCTCGTGCATTAGTTCCCGAAAAAGATGATGGGTTTAGCTTCATAAACTCCGATAACTTAACTATAGGATTTTCCTCTGGGGTATCATTTGTCGAAGGGACTGTTTGTTCTTCAGATTGAGAACTTACTCGATCACTTCTAGAAGGAATATCTTGAAGGGGCCTAAGGGTTCGACCACCCCTAGCCCTGATCCTACTCTGACGCCGTCCTCTACCTCTCAAGGGCATATCATCTGTCGGAGAAATTCTGCCAGAGGCTCTACTGCTAGTGGAGCTCCTGGTAGATACTCGACGTCTGGGTGGCATATTTCACTATATCAAGAAACAAAAGAAATATTTAATTCAAAATACAATTCCTTTATATAATAAAAAGTCAATAAAAAAAAACAAACGTCGTTTGAAAACTTCCTATAGAACTTCCAATGATGTCTCAATTATAATTATGCCCGGGTTCATAATGATAATTGAAACCTCACTGGCAAGTTTCTGCTCCACATGGTTTTATATGTAAAAACCTTGGCTCTGATACCAAATTGTCACACCCCAAAATAGAGGGTGACCGGCACGGGTATGAGTCACTTACACATTCCCGTAAGCCTTAAAATAAACATTGATTTCATTTTTTCATTTTTTTTTTACAAAAAAAAGGAACAAAATTTAATCAAATCCTATGAAAATTTAAAATAACTTATTGGATTTAATATTATAAAAGAGTGTCGATGTTTTTGTAAAAATTTCGGCAGAACCTCCCCTGTAACTAGGATCTCCCGAGAATTCTACAACAAAATTCTGACAGATAACAGTATAAATCAGGAGCGTAGCTCCTTCCAGCCAACAACCCATATACAGATCAAAAATAAAGTTTATCAACAACCTATGTGGAGCATCTATTCTTCTCTCAAATTAAAAGGACATACAAATTATATATTTACATAAAGACAATAATACCAATCAAAATATCCACCCACTGTAGCTAGTTGCCCTTTTGAGGTTGCTGGTAGAATCGGCGTCAGCTAACCAATCTGAAGCCAAATAATTTTTTCAGTGAATAGCATTCCCATAATAAAATTCTTAAAATTTAAATTGACAGTCTCTAATAATGGTGTCAAATAATTGAAAGTAATTCCACCAAAATTATAAGCATATAAATTATAATCATATTTGAAAAATAAGAATAAGTAGAGAACAATTTATGTTCTCATGCTTAAAGAAACCATTTGCTCTCATATAACTCAAAGTAATACAAATTACTAGTCAACACCGGATAAATTTCAAAAAATACATATTAATCAACATTTAAAATTTCGAGAACTCAACAGAACAGGTTACAAACGTGAACACTCAGTCCACGAGGGTAAATAACCAAACGCGGCTTATGCCACGAAAACAAACGTGGACACACCAGTCCACGAGGGTAAATAACCAAACGCAGCCGGAGCGACGAATCAAACGTGGACACACAGCCCACGAGGGTAAGTAACCAAACGTGGCTCAGGCCACGAAATCAAACGCGGGTATGAAGCCCACGAATACCAAACGTGAGAATAAAACTCACGAAACAAACTAGCTAGTATTTAACCACAGCGCGCTACGGACTAACGGAACTGCCGTTAGTAACAGTGTTCTGTGTAAAGTTCTCTTAGAAATCCCATTTCAACATGCGAGAGAAATGATTATTTTGAATTTAAATTGTCATTTTCAAAATCAAACTCGCATGAATTGTGTCAAATCTCAACGTTTGTCAAAATCATAACTTTGTATTAATCGAGTATCCAATAAATTTCAAAGTTTAACAACCATACAAGATTACTTCCATCAAACTTGGAAATATCTTTGTAAAAATCAATGAATGCATATATCATAACTCGTTTGTCTTTCACTGATATCTTAAAATTTTCATAATTAATATAATTCATAAGAAAAATAATTCAGGAAGAGGCTATTAAAATAAAGATAAAATATTAAATGGAATGCTATTCACTTACTCGTCGGAGCTTCAAAATTTTTAAAGATATCCTTTCTTTCAATTTTGGTCAGGTTCCCTTTCTTCTGCACACCCTATTAGAATATAAATAAATAAATAATTAAATAATTAAATAAATTTGTCCTGGGTATTTTACCAAACAACATACATACATACATAATTGTCGAAGTTGATGTTAATGTTTTTCCTTCCTAATTTTTTTTTTCAGTTTTATTGAGATCTTGCAATATCGTCTAATTCCATAATTTCTAATTGGAATCTCAATCTACAATATCATCTTGCTTCCTTGCATAACCGCAATATTCATTTAAATAGAAATTCCTCCTCTCTTCTTCTTCCTTTTTCTTCTTTTTCTTACGTAACAGCATGAATAATGACAGAACAATGTGAGGTTGCCATGATTACATATACCAAACAGTAATAGTAGCGCATACAACTCTACTTCTGCATTTCACGTATACGCACGTCACACATGTCCTTATCTCTTACTCTCACGACATAGTGGATTAGCAATAGGAGAGTTTAAAATTTCTCACCTTCTCAACCCAGATGGCAGCGGACAACAAAGGAGAAAGAAGAAGAAAATGAAGATTGCAGCAGAACAGGGACGCAGAAAACTGAGCACTACTCGCAAGGAAACACAGGAAATGAATCAGCAACAATAATCCATATTCATAACAGCACTGCCGCAGCTCTGGCAACTTGGTTTCTCATCCCAGCTGTTACTCGAAGATGACGCCACAGATAGAACCAAAACAGAAAACGAAGAGGAAAAAAAAACAGAGACAAAGAGCACGAAAGATAGCCGGAGCAATCGGTGCAGCACAAGTCTCCAACTCTTTCTTACAATAATCACTGGTGATAATAAAGAGAAGGAAGATCTAAATACTCACACATGCACCTGGATAAAGAAGGGAGAAAGAGCTCGGTGATCTGAAATAAATAAAGAAAACAGAGTGCAAAGATCACTCGTTGACTGACCAACGACAGATGGAGTAAAGGCAAGCGTACCGACGATAATAACAGCTAAAACTGAAGAGAAGCAGCAACGATTCAAGGAGGAAGAAGGAGAAGGTTTAGCGTGCTCTTTTATAACACCCAGAACAGAGGAGAAGGCGAGTTGCAGCTCGAGCCCGCATACACATCAGACGGCGTCACGGCAAGGAAGAAGGAAGCCACTTACGCACACCTCAATCCACTAGCAACGGCGGACGGAACCTCAACGCCAGTGACTGCTGTATACGGAGGAAGTGAAATTTCTAGACCTAGGATTTCTCTTACTCTCTCCACCGACTCTCTCTTTCTCTTTTGCTCCAGAATCCTTTCTGAAGAACAAAAGAAGAGTAAATAAAAATATAATTATGTTAGGGGTAATTTGGTAATTTTCTTATGAGGAAAATCAGCAAAGGAAGAAAAATATTCTATGGGCTCACTACGGTTCGAACTTGGGACCAAATGAAAATAATCCAGCCCAACTACCACTACATCAGCTTCCTCTATTAGCATAATTGTATAAGGATTTAATATAAACATACATAAACCAATTATCATATATATATATGTATATTAATTTATTTTTATAAGGGTTATCACATTCTCCCCCCCTTAAGAAATTCGGTCCTCCGAATTTAAATTTATACTTACCTTATTCCACAAATAGGTGTGGGTACTTAGCACGCATGTCGGCTTCAATTTCCCACGTGGCTTCTTCTTGAGAATGATTTCGCCATAGCACTTTCACCAAAGTGATTTCTTTTGACCGCAACTTCTTAACTTGTCGATCCAAAATAGCTACTGGAACTTCTTCATAAGATAAGTCTGGGGATATTTGAATCCCCTGAGCTTCAATTACATGAGAAGGGTCATATAAATATTTCCGTAACATTGATACATGAAACACCGGATGAATACCTGACAATTCAGGCGGTAACGCCAAACGATAAGCAACTGCACCAATTTTTTCCAGAATTTCAAATGGACCAACATATCTTGGGCTCAATTTACCCTTTTTCCCAAATCTCATTACTCCTTTCATAGGAGACACCTTAAGAAATACTTTGTCTCCAATTATAAATTGTAATTCTCGACGTCGATTATCAACATAAGACTTCTGTCGATTTTGGGCTGTTATTAATCTTTCTCTAATTATTTTCACTTTCTCAATAGCATCTTGCACCAAATCTGGTCCCAACAGCTTAGTATCACCAACATCAAACCACCCAATAGGAGACCTACATTGCCTGCCGTAAAGTGCTTCATATGGGGCCATTTGTATGCTAGATTGATAACTGTTGTTATAAGAAAACTCTACCAAAGCTAAGTAACGGTCCCAACTGCCACCAAAATCCAGAATACAAGATCTTAATATATCTTCAAGTATCTGAATGGTTCTCTCAGACTGGCCATCAGTTTGTGGGTGAAAAGCAGTACTAAGGTCTAATCGAGTGCCCAAAGCTTCTTGGAAAGATTTCCAAAATCGGGAAGTAAATTGAGGACCTCTATCAGAAATTATGGATATTGGAATTCCATGCAATCGCACAATCTCATCAATATATAATTGAACATATTTATCAACATTATATGTTGTCTTTACTGGAATGAAATGAGCTGATTTCGTCAGTCTATCAACAATAACCCAGATAGAATCATACCCCTTAGCAGTGCGAGGTAACCCGGTGACAAAGTCCATTGTGATATTTTCCCACTTCCATTCTGGTATTTCTAACCTTTGGTGTAGCCCAGCTGGCTTTTGGTGTTCTGCCTTAACTTGCTGGCATGTCAAACAGCGTGAGACAAAGTCTGCCACATCCTTTTTCATGCCATCCCACCAATACAGTTGTTTCAAATCTTGATACATTTTAGTTGCTCCTAGATGCACGGTATATGAAGAATGATGAGCCTCTTCCATGATAAGTCGTTTCAAGTTTTCCTCGTGTGGCACGCAAATTCTACCCTTGCACTTTAATATTCCTTCCTGGTCAATTTCAAACTCAATGTTACTTCCAGCTATAACTGCTTCTTTTAACTTGCATAATTTTGGATCTGAAAATTGAGCACTCTTAATCTGATCCATTAAAGAAGAACGAACTTGTACATGAGCCAGAAATGGTCCCTTATCAATAATTTCAAACTTGACTCCACTCTGCTCAAGTTTATGAATTTCTTGCACCAAAGGCCTCCTTGTCGAAGTCATGTGCACCAAGCTACCCATCGATTTTCTACTTAAGGCATCAGCCACCACATTTGCCTTACCAGGATGGTAAAGAATTGTACAGTCATAATCCTTCAGTAACTCCATCCACCTTCTTTGTCTAAGATTAAGATCTTTTTGCTCAAAAATGTACTTTAAACTCTTATGATCAGTATAGATTTCACATGTCTCACCATAAAGATAGTGACGCCAAATTTTTAACGCAAAAACAACTGCTGCCATCTCTAGGTCATGAGTTGGGTAGTTTTGCTCGTGTTTCTTAAGTTTCCTTGAGGCATAAGCAATAACTCGTCCATGCTGCATTAGAACACAGCCTAAACCCACACGAGAAGCATCGCAATAAACTACATACCCTCCATTGCCTGATGGTAAACTCAAAACTGGTGCCGAAGTCAAACACTCCTTTAACTTTTGAAAACTGTCTTCACACTTGTTACTCCATTCAAATTTCACATTCTTTTGAGTTAATCTTGTCAGTGGAGCTGCTATTTTAGAGAAATCCTTGACAAAACGACGATAATATCCTGCAAGACCTAAGAAACTGCGAATTTCTGTAACAGTTGTTGGCCTTGGCCAATTTTGCACCGCTTCTACTTTGCCTGGGTCCACTTGAATACCATTTTTAGAAACAACATGTCCTAAAAAGGTAACTTTATCAAGCCAAAATTCACATTTAGAGAATTTGGCATAAAGTTATTGTTCCCTCATCGTCTGTAAAACCATCCGTAAATGATGTTCATGCTCCTCTAGGCTCTTTGAGTATATCAGAATATCATCAATAAAAACAATCACAAACTTATCAAGAAACGGTCTAAACACCCGATTCATTAGATCCATAAAAGCTGCTGGTGCATTAGTTAACCCAAATGACATTACTAGGAATTCATAATGACCATATCGGGTTCTAAATGCAGTCTTAGGTATATCCTCTTTCTTGATCTTTAATTGATGATAACCTGAACGTAAATCTATTTTGGAAAAATACTGAGCTCCTTGCAACTGATCAAAAAGATCATCTATACGAGGCAATGGGTACCTGTTTTTCACCGTCACCTTATTAAGCTGCCGATAATCAATACAGAGTCTTAATGACCCATCCTTTTTCTTCACAAAAAGTACTGGTGCTCCCCAAGGAGATGTGCTAGGTCGGATAAATCCCTTATCTAACAGTTCTTGCAATTGAGTCTTTAGTTCTCTCAGCTCAGAAGGTGCCATTCTATAAGGTGGAATAGAAATTGGTTGAGTGTCCGGAACTAAATCAATGGCAAATTCAATCTCTCGATCAGGTGGCAATCCAGGTAACTCTTCTGGAAAAACGTCAGGAAATTCCCGAATAACAGGAATTTGATCCAAACTAACAGTGGGTTTATCAATGTCCCTTATCACCGCTAAAAAACCTTGACAACCCTTCTGCAGTAATTGTTGGGCTTTTAAAGCTGAAATAAGATTAGTAGGTCTTTCTATAAAACTTCCTTGCAATATAAAAGAAGTTTCACCTGGAATATCAAATTTCACTACTTTTAAGTGACAATCAACGGTAGCATAGCAAGAAGCTAACCAGTCCATGCCCAGGATGACATCGAAATCAATCATATCAAGCATCATCAAATCAATAAGGGTTTCTCTGCCCTCAAGAGACACTTCACAAGACTTGTACACATAAGAAACAATTAAAGATTCCCCTACTGGAGTACCAACTACAAATGACTTATCAAGTTGGATAGGTTCTTTACCCAACCTCTTAGCAAAATAAGCGGACACATATGAATGAGTGGATCCAGGATCAAATAATGCATAAGCTTGATTAGAACACACAGTTATAATACCTGTAACAACAGCATTTGAGGCTTTAGCATCCTGTCTTGTCATGGCATAAACTCTCGCCTGCCTTTGTCCTAAGGAAGATTGTCCCCGCTGACCATTTCCCCTTCCAAATTTACCCCTGCTAGCTGAAGTAGAAGCAGTTCTAGCAGGTGGGATTGATGAGGAAGTAGGGCGAGGAGAAGGTTGAATTGATCCGTGACTTGACACAGACTGTAGATATGGACAATTTCTTCTCAAATGGCCCGTCTGTCCACATTCAAAACATGCACCAGACACTCTATAGCACGGTCCCGAATGATATTTTCCACAACTATTACAAGGGACTCTAGCATAACCTGATTGATTCGGCACTGACTGGGCTCGAGGTCTCACATTACCAGAATTGGGTCTCACAACGGGAGTGCTTACTGATGGTGAACCAAATGATCTAGGCTTAGATTGTGAGGCACGAAAGTGAGATTGACTTGAAAATTGATGACTCTTGGAAGAAGAACCAGGAAATTTCTCATCATGCTCCCTCTTGCGTTTCTTAGAAATTGCTTCTTCTGCCTTATGTCGATTCTCAATTCTCAATGCACTATCAACAATCTCAGCATAGGTGATATCACGACTCAACATAGGTGCTATGTTGTCATGTATGTGAACTGGTAATCCTTGTACAAACCTGCTAATTCGTTCTTTTTCAGTCGGTATAATATGAGGAGCAAAAGAGGATAATTCAGTAAACTTCTGGTCAT